TGCATGTAAGACAACATATCTAGTGAATTACAGTAAATAATAAGAGAATAATATTGCATGTATAAGAAAAAATGACCGGCAAAGTGTAGTAAAATAAAGAAAATGTCAGTGCATATCTATCGACTCTGACGAAGCTTAAAAAGAATTGAACTAGGTAGCACAAGTTTATATAAAATAGTAAGCAAATAGTTGCAAACTAAATAAAAAAAAATTTTCAAACATGCATGTTTTCTTTAAAAATCAGAAAGGGGAATAAGAATTTAGATTGGGGAGGGCTCAGCTTTAGTCTTCTCATTCAATATAATCCCACAGTCAACCGAGGCATCGGAGTCTATATAATAATATTGAATAGCAGCTACGAGCAAAACACTCTAATATTGGGCAACTTCAAATCCCTATTACCTGAATGACAAGTGAACATGTAAAAAGTAAGCATTTCCGATCATATGTGTTAGGTATCTGTAATGTAGTATTTCTGCAACATTGTAATTTCTAAAATTTTGGCAACCAGTGCTATGAAGCTATTGTTCACAAGTCATTCAAAGTTTGGGGGGGGGGGGGGGCACGGGGGGGGGGGGGGGGGACAATCTAAAGAAGTGAGAAGGGAAACTACAAGTCAAATATTAGTTGTTAAAAAGTTTCAGCTATATAAGCATGAATATTGTGTTGTCCATCGTTGCCTACCCCAAACCATCCAACTTATAACCCGCTTGATGATGCATATAAATATCCAATTCATAGAAAGCGAAGAAAAAGAGTAGTGTTCAATTCATAATTTAAGTCGGGCCTCAAAGCTTGTCATAGGATTCATTACTTAAGATGCAAATATATTCTAATGGTATGTAAATTCCTTTGCCATTTGAATTGCTATCGCTTTGATTTATGCATAACAGAGGAATCAACGGAATAAGTAACTAATTTTTGCCACAGCTAAGAGGATTTGCATGCATACTACTCATTTCCTATGTGCTTTATATATATATATATAGAACACCAAAACCTTAGCATGGTTCACTTTATTGAACGCCATCCATGCATTTCAATATGGATTGTCTGGGAAGCCTCCGCCCAAGCCATCCTCAATAGTTTCAATGCAAGGAAGAATTCCATCTTTACTTTAAGATCAATTGATGAACCACCATAGCTTCACTTATTGAAGAAAAGGAAATGAGAACTAAAAAAGAAATAATAATGGGGGTTTTACATAAATACCACTGAATTCTTAAATACTTAAACTTCACATGATTCACCTAATTAAATAGCAAGTTTTCATGTCCATAAGGCCATCCTTGATAGTTTCATTACAAGTAAAAAATAAAAAATAAAGCAAAAGAAATCAAGATCAATCAAAGATTCTTCATTGCTTCCCTCAACGAAGAACAAGAAATAGAAATTAAAAAAAAAAAAAAAAGATAATGGGGGGATTTGTATTATACCACATCTATCTTACACATTCACGTATTTAAGACCCAATCTATTCTTTTGTGCGGCGGTGTACCTTCTGTAAAAAAAATACACAAACCACATAACTCCTATGTTTTTACAATTAATACTTGAACTTAACTTTCAATATTTATACCATCTATGTCACGTAAAAAGCAGATGGGAAATGCAATGCCATAATAAGGTACAAGACACATTTAAGCTTCCAAGTTAAATTAGTAGGCCTTAGGATGCGTAACAGTTAGTAATAACATCAGGTATAGTCTCCTTAAAATTTTCATCTTTTGTTTTTCTCTTTAATGAAAAATATGATATTATGAGTAATAGTTTCTCCCTGTTCAGTAACACCCTTAAAAATTCTCGAATTTCTCTCTAACCAGATAAAGTATGAAGTGAAATGCACAACAAAGAAAAGAGCATTTTAGAAATTTTGCAGCTAAGAGTCTCAGAATAAACTAAAATTTAGATAATTGTGCATCCATGATGAAAGAAGGATGCATAAAGAATTCAAACATTAAGAATGGAGAAAGAGAGTTGGAACTAAAAAAAATGTTAGTATGTGATACATTATTGTTATTACCAAGAACACATTAGGGGAAAACCGTGATACTTGCATTGAGTAATGTGTCCCTTTTTTAAGACTCATAATCATAATTTTTCAAACAAAAAAAGTGTATCAAAGTGAAGGCCTTCTGAACCAAATTAATTTGTGCCACACGAGAGACCTGATCACGAGGTTTCCTGATCAGGGAGATGATGCTTGTGCCATTAGTTCCTACAGCTTCCAATGCCTTAATAAGTTTCTTGATCTTCCATATCTCAATGTTCCTATCGTTCTCAAGAGCATCAACCATTTTGCAAGCTTTGAGAGATAAATCTGCACAGAAAGATGTCCAGATAATACATACAAACATAAGACACATCAAATAAAGGTTTGAAAAGAAATTAACTGTGCTAAAGTACAAGACTAGATAGCGGATCATAGAAAATAATTGAAGCAAACAAAATGTTTGGCTTCATTTGAGATAAGAACAAAATAATATTATAAAGCAACATGTTTCAATACCTCCAAAAAGAAGCAACTGAACCACATCATTGATAAAATAAGCTACTTCATAGAAACAAATCCCAACAACTTCTGACTTTTTTATTTTCATTATTAAACACTAACGGAAACAATCAGAAAAGAGAGGATAGAGGGGGAAAAGAAATTATAAAAAGCCATTTATAAAAAAAAAAAGAAAAGCCATTTATATATATGAATATATATACATATAGAGGTAGATATAACATTATTTCTCTAAATATTCTCATTACAATGAACTGCCAACCATATAAAAACTATCACCTTTGGGTCATGAGACATCATCAAATCATCCAAGCCAAGTCACTTCTGGTCATGAGACATCATCAAATCATCCAAGCCAAGTCTCTTCTCCATGTATTTGCTCCGTGAGTTCCTCTTCTTCTGTCCTAGGCAGATCATTTAGGGCATTGCTAGATCATGCTATTGATTCATGGATGTTCTTTATGATAAAACTCAAGAGTATTTCTATTAATCAAAATAGAAATTGAATATCTATCTACTACAGCAAAAAATTATTTTACCGAGACAGAGACTTGGCTCTGGAAATGCCAAAAGATCATACCCTTTCATTCACCCAACCGATCAAGCATAGTAACACTCAAGTATCATTTAGATCTATGATAATTTATCCTAAATGCGAAGGATCTGGTAAGGGTGCTGTCAAATGCATTGGGCAGCCTCCTCCATGCCACTGTAATAGGATTCAAAGGAGTACACTTTGTAGGGACAACTTGAAATAGCTTTTTCCTCGATCACCATATGACCTTTGTCCATGTTTTCCTCTTTTGCAAAATCAACATCTTTATTGGGGTGTTATTCTCTTTTCATTTTCCTTTAAAAAATCTCCATCAAACTTTCTCATGAGATTTTCAATTTCTTCATTCAGATATTGTCCATTAAGACAACCGTAAAAGAGAGAAGGGGTCCAATGAGAAATAAGCAAGAGTTAGTCTCTCGACTATGCCCACACTTTATTTTTATAACCAACATAGAGTTAAATTTAACAAAATTTAATAATCATCACAATCACTTCCATTATATTTAATGAGTTATGTTATTTTCTCTTTTCAATAGCTATTATATTTAATGAATTATGTTATTTCCTCTTTTCAGTAGCATGATGGTGCTCCAACGGACATCCAATATACATGCATTGATCTTATTTCATATAACTTGATGGTTATTTATTGATGAAAACTCATGACCAAAGCATCATTTGGTAGAATCTTATCAACGTGGAAGTTTTAAAATTTTATTATCAAAATGATTTTATTATTTATTTCTCATCATGATCCTCCTCTCTAAAAAATTGTACCTCCCTATGAACAACTAGGGTGAAGAGGCACATAATTTATAAAATTGACAAGTGTAAGTGACTGCTCTATGAAGGAGAGCCAAATTTACTAGCGAGGAACATCTCGACACTTAGAGCTTTAAGTGACTACTTGAAAGAGAGCTACAACCCTTAAGCAAACGATATTCTAAGCTTAGTAGTAGATCTAAAAGGATTCTCCCTTCGGGTGAGTTACAGTCCCTAGGCAAAAGGAAAATCAAAACTCAAAAAAGGTAGCATTTCTTCTTGCTCGACTTTGGGTCAAATTATGAGCATAATAATGCCAAGGCTTATTGCAGCAACCACAAATATGATGCCCGAAATGGCTTTGAGGTAAGTCAGTCAATCAAATAGTATACAGAAACAAGTCCGCCTATCGATTCCCTGGGGATATTGTCAAAATATTATTAACATGTGAAGTTCTTGTTTATTGAACTACCAAATCTAGTTTAAAGTGATCAAACTCTAGGGATGAATCTAACGGTAATAAAAATGCAGTAAACAAAAATTATAGAAAAAGTTTTGAGTTTTTCAGACATACAAGATTCATACTCATTCAATCCAGGTCAAGTGGTTCTTAAGGTTTCCCTATAGAACCTATGCTATTGTTGACAATTGGGGATAAAAGGTTTCTCCTTATGCCTATGCCTATGGCCAAAGAAGAATCAGAAACTCATAAAGTTAAGTTTTGTTTTACTCTATTGTTCTTTTGATACCTTGTATATGTTTCAATATCCTACTAGAATATGTTTATTCTACCAGGTTTTTGTGATAAACCTACTTGTTTCATTATGCAATAACTAGAAGTTATAGTTCACAAGAGATTTTAACATTTCAATTATCCATATCTAAAGTAAATGAAATCTTGAAGGTTGACACATCAATAATAAAATTTATTGCACCGAAAAGGCGTCGAGGGAAACACAAAATTTATAGCTAGAAAACCACGAGAAATTCTTAAGACTTACAACACAGGAATACGAAACAAGATTAGCTACAATGCATGATGAACGAAAACATGAACTTTATTATTGCGGGAACAGAAAAGGAGACAACGCAAGAAGTACATATCAATAATAGCCAATTTGTCCTTGCAATACAACGATGTCCTCTGTGATTAATACAAATATCGTGGATCTCTCTTATACATATGTATTCAATATCACCTTACAATATTATAAAACTCCTTAACCAATCATAAATGAAAAGTGAAAACAAGAAAACATATTTTCCGAGTAAACCCTAGCAAGAAAACTCCAAGAGCTCCAAAAGAATTTCCTAAGCCCTAAAGGCACAGCCCCCAAGGCTGAAAACACTCCCATAATAATAAATATATGTTTATATATTTAGATCATGCATTAAAGGTCCAAAGTGGACATCCAAATTCTCAAATCAGTAAAAATATAAAATTCAACAGTTTAGCAAGTTGGCGAGCGCGACTCCGCAAGTGTGCGTGTTCGAGCGTGGCCACATGCATGTGGCAACATGCCATGCAAATGTGTATAACTAGCACGCAGAAGAGGTTGCATGACAGAGTTGTGATAGTGTGCATAGTAAGTAATGTACCCAACACGTCTCTGCAAGCATAGTTGTGCGCGGGCGGTAGCTTGCAGGCTTAGCAACTTGCGTGCAAATGGGGACCGATCATCAAAAATCCTAATATTCATTATTCAAGCACCCAATTCACCTATTTTTCTTCCTCAAATGGCATGAACCCTGTAACCTGTACAACATAAGAAAAACACCTTTCTCAAGCATAATATCTGATAAATAAAAGAAAACCACGAGGTATATACTGCAGTAAAATCACGTAATTTTATCTCGTATCAATTCCCCCAAATTTACTCATTACTTGCCCTCAAGTAATTTTATATCTCAAGAATGATTAAAATGATGTTTGGAGTTCTTATGTGGCTTTTGAATCTTTTAACCAGATTACATAAGAGTAATAAAGATATGCAAATCTCATTCATGGAAGGATTTTCATTAATTTCTAACAATCTAGTCCTTCCTTTAATCCCCTTCTTCTTATACCTAAGATTATCTAAAAATGCTTAATCTTGTGTAAGAAAATATTTCTATTTCCCAAAGATATTTTTAAGTCAATTAAGACTCAACTAACAAACCTAACATCCTTTAACCTCTTTTAAGTCAATAGTCAATTAAGACTCAACTAACAAACCTAACATCCTGTAACCTCTTTTATGCATATAATATCATAAGATTTTCATTAAAAAGGTTTTTAAGTCTTATTACTTAGGTGATATCTAAGACACCATTTTTTTTAAAATTTTTATGGTCACCTCAAGCTTCTTCTTAGGGCATTTGGCCATTTCTTTATTTTTCTATTAAATTAAGCCTTTCCAAATTCTTTACTTTTTATTTTCTTTTCATTTTTTTCCATCCCATTAAGAATTGCTATATTTGATGGAGCTCATTTCTCTTAAAAATTATAAATTCCTAATTACCACTAAATGAAAATTCTTCTCAATTTAAAGTTTTAAAAAATTAAATCCAATAAAAAATTCAAGACTTAACTAAATTAGTTGGATTGAAAATTAAAAGGCTTAAAGTTTCTCTGGTTGACTACTAATATCGTAGTTACACCATTTTAGTCAATTTGAGATAAGTTAATATTCACGTGAAATTGTTTAAAATATAAGACTTAGTTATCATATCATTTATTTCAAATTCTTCCTTTAATTAGAATTCAAATTTCAATTTAAGTAATTATATAATCTCGTTAAAGTATTAGGATTCCTAAAATGAGTCCCCTCTTCCTCTCTTTAAAGTATAATCATTAGCTCAATTATGAGAATAATTTCAAAGAGAGTAAACATGTATAACCCCCTTCCTCAAACTTATTTTCTATCATAAGTATGCTACAAAAAAAAATTAGGAAAGGACATGAACATAGCATGCAACAATAGAAAGTGACACCAGACAATTCATCATAATAAGACATCACAACATAGAGGTCAACATATTTAAACAAAATACTCGGGTAAGAATATACAAAATTCATATTGATTGCTTAAGTAACACAACCTAAAAACACTCAAAATAATTCAAATAAAAATTTAAAGCATATTTCAAAATAAATTTCAATACAAATGAAGTAAGTTAGAGCATGCTCAACACAACAGATAACGATTGGGTTGCCTCCCAAGATAACGTTTAGTTTAATGTCATCAGCTTGATCAAAAAGTCATTCTCAAAAACCAAAATTCCAATTGAATAATCCTTTATCAATCACTGAATCTTTTGTTGGTTCTGAAGTTTTTAATAAATTCTCAAGTTTTGGTTTTTCTAGGAACTTTTTTCTCTTAGTTCGATAACAATCTTTCAGAGAGTATGTATGTTTATTCAGATTATCATTCATAAGGTATTTTCTAAATCCAAGATCCTTCCAATTAATTCCCTTATTTTTAGATGAGTGTTTTCCATATTAGTTGCAAGAAATGGATCCCTAAAATTTAAATCAGGATTTCCTAAATTTTGGGTTGGGTTCTCCTATGGTTTTTTAGGTTTAAGTCCAAATCTACTTGGTTACTCTCCTGCCTAGGGCTATCCTCCAAATTATTCTCTTGGGGCCTATGTGTAGTCTTATTGGCTGAACTATCATTCTAACAAAGCTAGGAGCCACCTTAAAAAGGAGAGCAAATTCTTCCTCAGTCGTTGTCCAACAAAAAATCATCCTACTCAGCTTGTTATTCAAGGACTAACTCTTCATATTCAAAGTCATGGCTATCCACTACTCTTGTGGCTTAATGCTAGAGCAAATTCTTCCTCAGTCGTTGTCCAACAAAAATCATCCTACAGCTTGTTATTCAAGGACCAACTCTTCATATTCAAAGTCATGGCTATCCACTACTTTTGACATCCTTTGTGGCTTAATGCTTACTAGACTGTTTAACTGCACTATTTGATTTTCTAAGTTTCTTGTTGATGTAATTTGGCTTTATAATGGATTCA